GCAAGATTGGCCCGGGCCACACATCGTCCTGTGCAAACTGAACTGAACCGAACTGAACTGACCGAAAAAGTTATTTGAAGAACCGCTGAAACTGAACCGAACCACACTTCGGACGTATCCTTGAGCGGAGGATGAGTGACAACCCTCCTTTTGAAACTACTTCTCAAATCGAGGGGTTACCTGCCTCAGTGGAAGAAATTGTTGTTTCTGGTCTTTGTAGAACAGAAGATAATCTCATAAAGCGCCAGGTATCTTTCTGTTTCTCCGGAATAACTTGTTTACATCCCCGTGAAGTTTGTAAATCTCGTTAAATCGAAAACAATTAATGAATTATTCGATAATGTGAAGGATGCAAAGAACCGGCTGGATAATTTGGGTATCTTCCACTATGTTTATGCTGTGGTTGATGTGGCCGATGATCGGTTTAGAGTCGACAAGTACAAAGTAAGTGATTAATATTATGGGTACAGCGGATTTCAATTTTGAATGTAATATTGGTGCCACAGCCGTTTTCATTCGAAACATAACGATTTGCTTTCGCTTTTAGTCGTTCCGCTTGTAACTTGTTCATCCGCTTCTCAAAATCAATCAGATCCCATGAATGGTGTACCCGTGCCATCGTCTCATGGCTGTGATACGATAACAATTCTTTGCAGCTCTGAAGTCCGTGGTTCATAAATCCATACGTTCTTCTGTACATTAAATGCAATTTTCTCTTCCATTTTCTCAATGAAGTTTTCCTTAATAGGATAATCGTCTAATTTTCACTGTTCATGTGAGGTTTTGCTGATTGACCAACGAATGACTTGAAGGCTAGGCATGAAGAAATACACAGCTTTTTTGTAGGTAGGTGTCTCTCACTTTCTAGGTTTGAATCCCTAACATCCGTAACTGATTGGTTGGAAACACTGAAACATATGGCAGCGGACCGAAAGAAGTAGCGTTGTCTTTACTTATCATACCAGATTGTTTGTAAAAGTATGTATGCATGTATTTATGTATGTTTGACAGCGGCCGGTTAAGTTCGCTTCATTGTATTTAGCTGTACTGCGATGAGACTGCACCTTGAAGTGGTAGGATGGCTTGTATACCTCTGTGACCCAACGAGCTACACAGGATAGCTTTTGCTGAGCCAAAGATGTAGTCATGCCTGGAAGGTCAATTAGTAGAGGTCAAACAAAGTCCAGTCTCCTGGTCCTCCAGATTGGAGGTTCATTTGGAGTTGGTGTCTTAGTCGGCAAAACGTTTTGGAGGATTAATTCATCCAAGTAAATGGGCCTCCAATCCACCTTAACCGGTGCTTTGCGGTTAGGTTCTTGTGAAAACTAAAGGTTTCGGTGGAGAACCCTAATCGTTCTCCTGCTCAGTGGCTGGACTTCCTGGCAGTACCCGTCCATAAAACTCCAATGAACACAGACTAAAAACAATTCCATACTGCATCGGTCGTCGTGCAGGATAATCAGGACCGCGCTGCCCATTGCATCGAGCGGGGTCGGTAATGATAAGTGAACGATTGCTCAGATATCCCAACCGTTTAACTCTTTGTGTTCCGTACCCAACACTCTCTCGTTACCCCTTTTTCGGACCAGTTAAATTCCCTCACACAACTTGGTCGTCACTTGCCATTAACTGTGGCGGAATGTTGCATCTACCTAGGTGGCTGCTTGACAAATGATGCTATCGTGGTCAATTAAATAACCGCCCGTATTTCCAAGGCTCGAGCAACTTACGCAAGATTGAAAGGCCTTTGCTGCTGACGCGATGTTTCGTTGAAACTGAAAGGTCGCGTATATTGCGCCAGTGTCCGGTCAGTTCTGCTCTATGGTTGCGAGACCCTAAATTTGCTCGTGGAATATATGTCGTCTAGAAGTGTTCAACTGCCGATGTTTACGTAGTTTGGCGCGGGTGAGGCGTGGCGTATTTGATAATAATTCAATGGAGAATTCGTTGTCTCATCGAATTCAGATTAGTCGGCTTCACTGGTTAAGACACGTATTGCGCATGCCCAGCCATCGTCTGCCTTATTCGCACCTTATTCGCAATTGCGGCTCCAGGTTGGAAGAAACCGCGTGGACGTCAACAGATGACGTGGAAGCGAGGCATAAAAAAATGCACAGAGCGATTAGGTAAAATCGGTGTCTGTCGTCTTCCAGGTTGGGGTCCGAAAGATTATGCAACTGGCTGACTGGAGACACTGAAAGATATGGCGACTAATCGACAGCAGTGGCGTTCTTGTTATCATTTCTTATCAGGTTAGAATGCAATAAAAATTGTGTGCACACGTAGATTGTGTGTTCTGTGTCTTGACCATAGAGGTTCTTTTTCTTTGCCTCCCTCCAATTAGGTCCAATCCCTCTCCACCTTGTGCTTTATTACTTGATCTGTGTACATTGTGAGCTTGAAAGCAATCAGTGAAGTTAGCTCCACTGTATCTCGCCGTTCGATGTTGATGATACTGATGATGATTAGAAATAACGGTAGTTATCTTTATACTTGAAGAAAAAAGAAAAATGCGAAGGTTCTTTTCATGTAGATACCTGACGTTGGGCTTTATTATCAATACCACCCACTGATAGAGTTTTCCTCTGGGGATTCTAGCCGGGCCATTCAAATAACGGATGTGACTCGGATTGCACCTGAGCGTGTATCTAATAGGGAGCTTGATCAAAACATGCAAGTAACAATCGTTTGGGATTACTTTTTGCGTTGCGTTCGCTGGCGCGCTGCATATCGATTCGTTTTAGAATTGCCGCTAAGTAGCATGCACTCATTGAGGCGGAAAAGACGTAAACAGCACATTATAACTTTGTTTCGGTCGAAACCATCGAATGATTCATGAAGACTTCTGACCTCGATGAGTCAGATGTAGATGTCTCTCCAACTCCCATCTAGTGTTTTCGGCAAACTGCTGTTTCTCGCTTCAGTATGTTGGAAGGACGTTTTCACGTACGAACTTTGATAATCCAATT